TGTGCTGTGATGTTAATAGCTAACATCTATTGAGTATTCACTGTGTCCCAGCGGTCATACACTGCCTCATGCCATCTTCACAGGAGCCCGAGTAGTAGGTAGTGTGATCCTCTCCATCGTACAGACGAGGAGAGGGAGGCACAGAGAGGTGAAGTGACTTCCTCAAGGTCACAGAGCTGGGGCAAGCATCATACTAGACTTTAAATCCAGGTGGTTTGACTCCAGGCCCTCTCCTTGCAGCTGCTCTGTTGATTTCTGTCTCATGTGATCGAGAACGGCCAGGACCCTGCGGAAGCAACTCACCTCACATGGAGGGCAAGGCGGCTTCCTTAGGAGGGGAAAAGAGGAGCCAAGGGGCCGGTCAGAACTCGTTAGGGATGAGGGTGGGGACATCCGGACTGCGGGCACAAAGGCCGGGCAGGAGCGCGGGGTGCACTGACTAGATTCAGAGCGTCACGTGCCTCTGACCCTCACGCCCGCTGGCTGGAAGGGGAGGGAGGAGAGCTGGGAAGGCCAAGGGGCTGGAGGAGCAGGTGCCAGCCTAAGAGGGAAGCCTCTACCCACCTGACCTGGGGGATACGGAAGGTGGGGAAGTTTCCCAGGCAGATTTTACTTCAGAAAACTTGCTGTGAACTAGGCTTGGAGAGGTGGAGTCCAGCACGACTGGAGGCCTTACAGGTGTTCAGGGCACAGACGGAGGTGGCCCAGTGCGAGGACTGGCAGTGGCGAAAGGGAGACGTAGGCCAGGTTTGGTTACTTTGTGGTAGGGAGGCTCACCATCAAACCAGACTGCAAACTGGGGGGAACAAGACACCCCACCCAGCTGCAAGACAGTCAGGTATCAGCCCTGGTCAAATGCTAGGCAACTGGCCAAACTCTAAACAGGCAAAAGGTGGTGGAAGAAAAGCCTGGCAGAAATCATTTACTTTTTGATTTCTTGCTGGGGACTGAACCCAGGATCTCAGACATCATGGGCAGGCACTCCACTGAGATACCCCCAGGCCCAAATTTACTTTTTTTATGCATGTATGCTGCTGGTGATTGAACCTAGGGCTGTTCCACAACTGAGCTGTAGCCCTCTCTATTTTTTATTTTGAGAGAGGGTTTCACTGAATTGTCCAGGGTGGCCTTGAACTTATAATCCTCCTGCCTCAGCCTCCCATACAGCTGGGATTACAGGTGTTCACCATCACTCCTGGCTCCTGATTTACTTTTTTCAACTTTTATTGAGATATAATGCACATACTATCCAATTCACTCATATAAAGTATATAATTCGATTTTGGGGTATATTCAGAGATGTGCAACCATTATTACAATCAGTGTTACAAAACTTTCATAGTTAACTTACTTTTGAAGGAATTGTTCTCTTATTCCCATAAATGGAAGACTTGTATTATTTACCATAAAGGGAAGGCAAAATAAAGACAAAGCAATGAGAGCTGGGCAATGTTGAATGCTTCCTAGCTGGTGCTGCCTGTGAAGCATCTGAGCTGGAGACTTTTTCTCCGCCAGCAAGACCTTGCAGGTGGGAAAACATGGGTAAGGACGCACCAGCTCCAGGCTGAGCCTCTCTGGCATAATGAGAAAGAGAAAAAGACAATTGAAAAGAAAGTTACCTTTTCATTATGTTAGGTTAAAGCCGCATCCCTGAGCCTTCTAAAATCAGCTCGTATCTATGTCCTACACCTGTGCTCTCCAGGGTAGGGAAGGGCTTGCCCGACATCGCACCTCCAGGCAGTGGCAAACTGGGCTTAGAAGTCAAATTTCTTTCTTTTTCTTTCTCTCTTTCTGTCTCTCTTTCTCTTTCTCTTTCTTTCTTTCTTTCTTTCTTTCTTTCTTTCTTTCTTTCTTTCTTTCTTTCTCTCTCTCTCTCTCTCTCTCTTTCTCTTTCTCTTTTTCTTTCTTTCTCTCTCTCTTTCTCTTTTTCTTTCTTTCTTTCTTTCTTTCTTTCTTTCTTTCTTTCTTTCTTTCTTTGTCTTTTTGAGACAGGGTCTCACTATGCAGTTCAGGCTGGCCTTGAACTCACTTTGTAGCTCAGGCTGGCCTCAAACTCACAATGATCCTCCTGCCCCAGCCTCCCAAGTGCTGGGATTGCAGGCGTGCACTACCGCGCCCCGCAGAATTCAGGTTTCTTATATGCTGTTCTCCTTCTACTGCACCTCTTTGCAATCATTGTTTTGAATTAGGCCAAGTGCCCAATGTGTGTGCTAAGCAGCCCTTGTTACAAATGAACAAAGCACAAATTTTGCAGCTAGAAGGAGCCTCAGCAGCAGTCTAACCCCACCCATTTCATTTTACAGAGGAGAAAACTGACGAGTTTGTTTACCTAAGCATGTTTAGAGTTGCATGTCAGTCAGTTGGCCGGAATATACAGCCCATAGTACAGCTGTTGACAGTCCAGAGTGGTAACGACTGTTCTCTTGGGTTAAGCCTAACCTCTGGGTATCTCAGTCCTGGCACCAGGCCCTGCACTGCTCTCGATCTGGGTCTTTAGTTGGATCTGTCTTCACCTGCGTATGAGTGGTTTACCCCTTACTCCAGCTGCCAACGTGGCTTTCAGGATCGTGGGTGTGAGGGGAACAGTTGTGGATTGGGAAGGTGTGTTACAGAAGAAAGAAGTGAGACGTTGTTCGGAGCTGTGCAGGAGTTGAGGTTTTACCCTGCTTGCGAGCTGACGGGTGAGCCTGCCGCGGTTGCTGGGTGCTGCGGGAGACGCAGACCTCTGAGTGCAGCAGGAACAAAGGTTTCCTTACCCACAGCAAGAGCGGTGGGTAGAACGTTACCATTTGCGGGTGCTTGTTCCTGAAGGCCCGTTCCAAGGGCAAAGAGGGCCAGGTGACCTCCGGAGTGCAGTCAGGCGCATCACGGGAGCGGAGCCCTGGCTTAGAGAACCAGAGTCTTACCTACGGGGCAGTGAGCACGCCGCACTCCGCTCAGGGAAAGGCATTCTCCTAAAAGGACAGCCTAGAACAAAGGGCAGTTGGTGACTGCTCACCAGTCACGCAGACATGTGAGAGACGGAGGCCTGCCTCCCAAGTCCCTGCTATGTCACGACACAGGGATGCGAAGGTTGGAGACACAGAAGCCCACATCAGTGCGTCTGTCTTTCTGTATCGCTTCTTACTGGTTTCAGCTATGGAAAGAGCATCTGGAGGCTTGTTTGTAGACTTTGGCATGTGTCTCACTTGCAGTGTATGCAGCCTTCAATTCGCTGTCTTACCTGGGTGTAGACAACGCAAAGCATTCCTTACCACGGCTGTCAGAAACCCCTGGAAGCCCATAGCGCCACAGATGGGAGGCGAATGTAGCCTTCCGAATGCTACCTGCTTCCCGCAAATAGCACATGCTCGGAGAACCTAGGGTGGCCATGCTGCAGGCAGCTGTAGGACATACACCGTCTCTTGCACTGTGCCCATCAACACCTAGGGAAAACATGGTAAGGGCTGCCGGTCTCCATGATGCCATCAGCAAGACTCCTGACGTGGTCTAAACTGTCGTCTAGAATCACAGCTAGATGGGCCGCGAAGGCAGGCTTTGTTTGTGACACGGGCTTGATCTCTGAGGATATTCTGTATCTATAGCCTTGGCTGTCAAGCCTGAGGCTGTTGGCAGTGCTTCTCTACTGGGAGGAGGATGTATCTTGGGACAGGAGCTTACGGATACTGCTGACCCCAAAGCAGGACCTGGGACGTACCCTGCAGAGGGAGTCCGTGTCATTGTCCAGGTCCTCGGGCTCTTCGCCACCACGTCAGATGGGAGTTAACCCGCTGACTGACTCAAGCAGTGAATCAGTGGCAGGTGAACCAATGACCACACCCTCCAGTGGGGGGCAAAGAGCAAAAATTATGTCAGGAAGCTAGGCAAAGCCCAACACTATCCAAGTGGGATAGCTTTAGTGAGTCTGAAGAGGGACATGGGGGTCATGGATGCTCCAGCTGATGTGGCGGTTTGCTGTAAATGGAAATATAATGCAAACATGATTAGAGCTGGCGATACAAAGTGACTCTGTCATCTCACTGCCCTGTGGGAAATTTAATTTGGAAGGATGTAGAAGGGGGATAAACCAGGGGCAGAGGGATGCAGAAACCGTTGCTTTGTCTAAGCAGCCTACAAACTGTGGCTTTTATATACGGTTCCTTGGAGCCACCGTGATGAACTCAGGTTGAAAAAGATTCCCCAAAGCTGTAGCATCTTACGGACACTTTATATGGCCAAAGACCTTGTTCCTTGTTGGATTCCCCAGACATCGCCACACCCAGAATAGGAGGACTTCCATCTTCCCAAGAGAAGTCGGGGGCCCCAAAGTAAGCTCGCGATGACTGGTCCTCTTGGCAGTGAACCCAAATGACACCTCCCACATCATGCTAAAGCTGATGTCCCAGGATTAGCATTTATTACTGGCAGAGGATTGTGAAAAGACTTCCTCCCACTGTGCAGTGAGCTTTGACCTTTGAGCTGCGCCTGCTAATAAATATTCACCTGTCTCAAACAGGAAAAAGCAACCTGTGCTGGGTGACAGAGCTGCTGGTTAGTGTGGATCTGAGGAATGCTGTGCACACTGCTTTGATTCTTGGGTTTGTGTTTTTATATTCTTTGTAAGAAGGAAGATCTAAATTCTGCATGGTTGTGCAGTCTTGCAGGGCTCCTAGGGTTATCAAATGTACAAAATATTCACAGTAACTTTTTTATGCATACATGTTGGTGGTACATCATGCTTACATTCCTGTGTAGAGTTGGTTCATGCACATACACATCAACTTTTTTTTTTTTTTTT